CACCTGTCCACCACCGCAGATATCGATGAAGAGATTCAGCATCGGATTAGATGTGCATCACAAGCCTTTGGCAAATTTCATACCCATGTCTCCAGCTGTAGGGAGCTGAAATTATCTACAAAGTTGCACGAATATCGAGCAGTGGATCTCTCTACCCTGCTATATGGCAGCAAGACATGGGTCACATACAGGAGGCACCTCAAGGAACTTGAAAACTTTCACCAACGTAGTGTATGTTCCATCCTCTAAGTTCGCTTGGAAGACAAGAGAACAAATGCCTGTATTCTCGCTGACACCAATTGTAGGAGCATCGAGGCTATGCTGGACTGGCTATGTTACCCGTATGGGCGGCAGTAGACTGCCAAAGCAGCTATTTTACAGTCACCTAACGAATATTAAACATAACGCCGGCGGGCAATTGAAAAGAAATAAGGATAGTCTTAAGATACACCTGAAAAAGTGCCAAATCGACCCCCTCACCTGGGAGACGATTGCTCCACACCATAACGCTTGGAGGGCCATCACACAAGATGTCAATACATTTTAGTTAAACCGATTGCATAACGAGGTACAGAAGCGCTAAAGCCGGAAAGACACTTCTGCCGCCGCCCTCCTGCACTAGATGTAGCCTTCCACACGTGCAACATCTGTGAACGACGCTGCCGGTCCCGAATCGGTCTCTTTAATCACCTCAGAACTCACCAACGAAGGTGACATCCTTAATAACTCATATCATTGTATCATAGCTGGATGATCGTCATACTCGATTCCGAGTGACAGCAAAGTAGTAGTAGTAGTGTGAGGAGTAATAGTTTTAGGTTCTTCAACTGCCGGGGTTATTATGCACCCTCACTAGGTCTTAGTTTTAGGTGCTTCAACTACCAGGGTTATTAAGCACCATTCAGTAGATCTTAGTTTTAGGTGCTTCAACTACCAGGGTTATTAAGCACCGTTCACTAGGTCTTAGTTTTAGGTGCTTCAACTACCAGGGTTATTAAGCACCGTTCACTAGGTCTTAGTTTTAGGTGCTTCAACTACCAGGGTTATTAAGCACCGTTCACTAGGTCTTAGTTTTAGGTGCTTCAACTACCAGGGTTATTAAGCACCGTTCACTAGGTCTTAGTTTTAGGTGCTTCAACTACCAGGGTTATTAAGCACCGTTCACTAGGTCTTAGTTTTAGATGCTTCACTAAACAACAACATCATTTAAAGATAAAGAATGTTCTGTCTGGATTTTCTAAGTTAAATTCAACTTATTAAAATGGTGATCGATATTTTCTTCAGAACTCTGACTTTGTACAGTATATGACCCGACCCAACTAGTCTACACCTAATCCAGTTTAATCCAACTGAACTCACCCTTAGTTAACTTAACCTATACCTTAATGTTTTTTAACCAACCCAAAGATGACCTAACCTACCCTTAGTTGACCTAACTTACTCTAAATTAATCTAATCCATCCAAAGTTAATATAATTCACCTTAATTTAATCTAACCAAAGTAAACCTTTTCCTAACCTAACCTAACCTAACCTAACCTAACCTAACCCTTTCCTAACCTAACCTAACCTGGTCCCGGAGGCTAACCTAAGTTAACTTAATAGTCTCCTATCTATCCAAATTTATTGCTCTGTGGTAGAAAAATGTTCTTTAGCTGGTAGGCAAACGTTCTCGGAAAGGTAAACAATGTTCTCAGGTAGACAGATGTTCTCTGGTAAGGTGAACAAAATAATGTTCTCGTCCTGTATATAAAGCCATTTAGCCTCGGAATTTTAGGAATGAACTTGTGGGCCTTGAAATGACTGTCATTGTCAGGGAGCCTAAAACTATCGACACTACCAGAACTCATTCAACTCTTCCAACTCTGTCAAAAAGTTTTAATGCCTTTAAAGTTTCGAATCCAATCGAGTTTGCTTATGGTTTCAGTAGGTGTTTCGTATCCCCGTTTTGTACAATAACGGATATTTAAAAGGTTTCGAATCCTTTGTATTTCCCGATTTGTTTTGTTGGTGTTTCATAGTTTCGCTTTGTATTGTATTTAAATGTTTCAGCGTTATTGAGGTTTTGAATCCAGTGAGGCTTCATTGTCTTTGAGCTTTCGAATCCAGTGAGGCTTCATTGTCTTTGAGCTTTCGAATCCAGTGGGGCTTCATTGTCTTTGAGCTTTCGAATCCAGTGAGGCTTCATTGTCTTTGAGCTTTCGAATCCAGTGAGGCTTCATTGTCTTTGAGCTTTCGAATCTGGTGGGGTTTGGTTACGTGTACACCTTTTCTGTGTTCATCTTGTCTTAATTATTTTTATGGCTCTGGTGGATAAAGAGAGAGAATGATAGTAATGAATGGGAGAAATGGACGAGGAGTGTTTTATAAGACATGTGTAGAAAGATATTGAAAACACATACGCCTCACACACACACGCACACACGACTCACACACACACACACACACACATACATCCTCAATTTACCTACAAAATACACACACAAAATTAATCCTTTACCCAACATACAGTAAATAATGTTTACTCGTTGTGGTGTTGGAGTTTTTGGGTCAGTAAGTCTCACTATTACATGTCATATCCCACGTCACAACAACATGAGTTTTTCCATCACAAAACCTAAAAAAAAAAAAAAGACCGATTGGTGTATTTTCCGGATAACTAACGCTAATTTCACACTACATTTGTCCCTTAAACGACCCAGCCCATGTTTAACCTGAGTGTTGTACTAGATAACAACTGAAAAATACTAGCGTGAAACAGGCTGTTGAATTTTAATGTAGTGTAATTGTAAGCTTAGATCTCCATACCTTCTCTCCCTAAAGGAATCTGGTGTTTATGTTCTGAGGTTGAATATATTACAGTAACCCTGGAGAATATCTTATCTTGTGGTAGTGAAATAGACTACAGTGGTGTTAAATGCCAAACAGACACTTGGGGTTTATTGAAGTACGACTCGAAGCAATATGACAACGAAGGAAAGGTTAGGGTTTGTTAGGTCAAGTAATGAAGTAGTGTCGGCTTGTCTGGTGGCTAAAACATTGTCATTTGTGGTTGGTGGTTAAACATTACTGTATTCCATTATAAAAGAAACCTTATGTAACCTAATGTAACCTAACCTCACCTAACCAACTAAGATTCCATTCCTATCCTGTACACACAAGTTGATCTTACGAATAAGTTACTATAATTATTTTTACATTGTTTATAGTTCATCCCTCTGGCTTCCTACATTATTTATCTCTCTCTTGTCATTCTCATCTTTACTATGTTTCTGTATCCCACGATCCATCCTACGCAATACTGGGATTACAATAGAGCATATATAAAATAAATTATAGTGTAGTGTCGCGTGTTATAAGGTATGGTGGCCTAACTGACTATAGTATCAGGGGCTACGATAGGTTAGGTTAGATTAGGTTAGGTTGTTTTAAATTAGATTAGGTTATGTTAGGTTGGTTTGGTTAGGTTACTTTATGTTTGGTTAGATTAGTTAGGTTAATCTAGGTTAGGCTAATTTACGTTAAGTTAGGTTAGGTTAAATAAGGAATACTAAATGATCGTAGGAGAACAGCAGTAGTAATTGGACACAGTTACAGGTAGTTAACAATCACACAGGTGGTAATTATAGGTCCCGAGTGAGTAATTATAACGGCTGAGAGTAATTAATATCTTGTTATTCATACACACACTCTCTCTCTGTCTGTCTGTCTGTCTGTCTCACACACTTTTCTGTCACTCACTCTTCTCTTCTCTTAAAGGCACAGTCTTAAAATAGGCAGAGTCTTAATAGGGGAATAGTCTTAAAATAGGCAGAATCTTAATAGGGGAATAGTCTTAAAATAGGCAGAGTCATAATAGGGGAATAGTCTTAAAATAGGCAGAGTCTTAATAGGGGAACAGTCTTAAAATAGGCAGAATCTTAATAGGGGAATAGTCTTAAAATAGGCAGAGTCTTAATAGGGGAATAGTCTTAAAATAGGCAGAGTCATAATAGGGGTACAGTCTTAAAATAGGAAGTCTTAATAGGGGAATAGTCTTAAAATAGGCAGAATAGGGTGCCAGATTCTAAATAGGCGCTAAACCCTTAATAGATCCCGTCCCTAAAAGGCCTCAAATACAAATCGAACCTAACCTAACCATATGGACGGAATAGAATTGGGCCCCATTTTTAGGTTAAACTGTGTAAAATTGAAGCCTATTAGGAACCTGGTCCCATTTGAGCACAGTTACTACGAGAACCACTAGAGAAATATTTACCAACATTAACTAACTCATTCACGTCACCATTGAAGGAATTATGGTAAAAATAATCAGTAAAGTTAGGAAGAATTATTAGTAGGGATGACCTGACCTGTGTTTGACCTTGATGACGTCATTTGATACCAGGGCGTAAAAGTGGGCTTCTTGAACCTTGAAACTTTGTCCTGATCTAGATACTTGACCTTAGCCTGTTAACATGAGGTCATTCACTCTTATGTTGATGGACAAAAAAAGACAACTTGTATCATTAAGCTATAAGGAAATTCTTAAGGGTTTTGTTCGGGTGACACGTTATTGTCGTACTTGTTTTGATTCTTAAATCGACATCATTTAAAAAGTATTTCTCCCAGTCGTTCTGATTCCCAACACGACATCTTTTAAAAGGTAATTGCCATACTCGTTATGATCCCCAAAACGACATCACTTAAAAGGTATTTCTCCCAGTCGTTCTGATTCCCAAAACAACATCACTTAAAAGGTAATTATCATAGTCGTTCTGATCCCCAAAACGACACAATTTAAAAGGTAATTATCATAGTCGTTCTGATTCCTAAAACGACACCATTTAAAAGGTAATTATCATAGTCGTTCTGATCCCTAAAACGACACCATTTAAAAGGTGATTATCATAGTCGTTCTGATCCCCGAAAACGACACCAATGAAAGGTTGTCGTTCAGGTCTGCTCAATTACAGCGACATCAAACCATTAAACTAACTTTCTCCTCTTTACCCACCTCAGGTTCGCCAGTGCCGGAGAAGCAGCCAGCACTGACGGTGGTTCCTGGGCCTCAAGTGGCGAACATGTACTCCGCCCCTTCCGACACCAAGCTCTCCGAGGACCTCACGCCCACGCCCTCACACCCGCCCTTCGAGGAACTTACGCCCACAAACGACGCCAAGGTGCGGACAGTACACGCCCTTAACAGATTAAGCGGTGACTCTGGCCACACCTTTATCCCTGACCCTGTAAGTGACGTGTTATTGTGGTGAGTGGGGGAGTGAGTGGTGAGTAGGTGGTGGTGAGTGAGTGAGTAGGTGGTGGTGAGTGGGAGTTGAATGATTGGTGAGTGGATGGTGAATCGGTTGCGAGTGGGAAGTGAGTGGTAAGTGGGAAGAGAGTAGGTGAGTGGGAAGTTAGTAGGAGTTGAGTGGGAAGTGAATAGGTTGTTAGTGGATATTGAATGGGAGGTGGGCGATAAGTGGATTACTTATAGAAGGTGAGTGTGGAGTGGACGGATATAGGAAGAGAGTAAATCAACACAGGCATTGGGCTAACTAACGCACCTATCCACCTCCCCCCCTCCCCAAAAAAACTTCCTCACATAGACAAAAAATTTACACCTATCAGTCAATTCAGTAAAGAAACACCAACCATTAGACTAAGGAGAGAGAACCAATAACAGCCAACCTTGAATACAACATTCGAGTCTTACTTCAACCTGTGGCAGACCCCTTGAGTTGTTCCTCCAGACGTTTCCTGGGGACATCTTGAGAGCACTTCGTCAGGTTAGGTTCTCCTCACCTGGATGACTGTCACTAGAGACACCTGATAAAAGTGTAGGTGTTGGTGAGTTATCTGCAGAGTTATTAGTGTAGTTTATCCTGTTATTGGCGTAACTATCACGTTTGTGGGTATTTGTTCGATGATGATATTATTATTATTAGAAGTAGTAGTAATAGGTGTAGTAGTAGTAGTAATAATAGCTGTAGTAGTATTAGTAATAGTTGTACTAGTATTAGTAAAAGTAGTGATAGTAGTTGTAATAAAAGTAGAAGGGCAAATGGCTTCAGTCTCAATAAACAAGAATTTACAGATGCCATTGCTCTAAGGTACGGTAGGCCAGTAGGTTTGCCCTCCCAATGTGTGTGTGGGTCTTCCTATGACGTCGATCACGCCATGGTGTGCAAGTAAGGGGGCTTCATATGCATGAGGCATGACGAAGTAAGGGATCTCACAGCAAATATGTTGAAGGAAATCTGCCGTGATGTCAGGGTAAAACCGACCCTCCTTCCATTGGACGGTGAGATTTTCCAACATAGGACTTCAAACACATCCAACGAAGCCCGTGTTGACGTCAGTGCTCGAGAATTCTGGACGCGAGGACAGCGAGCCTTCTTCGACATCAGGATTTTTTATCCCATGGCCGCATGTCACCGTAACTTAGCTCTCGATGCTGCACACAGGAGGAATGAGAACGACAAGATAAGGGCATATGGGGAGAGAATTCAAAACGTTGATCAAGGCAGCTTCACTCCTCTAGTGTTCACAACCTCTGGTGGGATGGGACCAAGTGCAAGATGCTTCTACGCCAGACTCGCGAAGGTGATCTCCGAACAGAAGCAGCAGCCCAGAAGTTATGTTACAGCCTGGATGAGATGTCGACTGTCCTTCTCTCTCCTTCGGTCGGCTTTGCTCTGCCTTAGGGGAACGAGAGCATCGGCCCTAAAGCCGACAACAGTTGCAGATATTGACTATGAGGCTACAGTCACTGAATGCCGCATAGATCTGCGGCTTAACCAACTCAACACAGCCAGGATAGCTACTTATGTATTAGGATATTTAATATTAGGGTAATAAAATGGTGGCGAAGGTGTGGCTGCTGGGGGAGGCAGGAGGCCATTTTATTGAAAAAATATAGAGATAAAAGTAGTGGGAGTAGTAGAAAAAGTAGTGGTAGTAATAAAAGTAATAGTAGTAGTAGTAGCAAAAGTAGTAGTAAATGTAGTGGTAGTAGTAGTAGTAATAGCAGTAAAGGTAGTAGTAGTAGTAGCAAAGGTAATGGCAGTAGTATTAGCAAAAGTAGTAATAGTAGTAAAAGTAATGGTAGCAAAAGTATTCGTAGTATTGTGTAACTTCAAGTCAACGACAAGACATCATCACAAACTAAATGCACACCTCACCCAAGTCACCTGCCATAGTTACTTTCAAGAAATAAAGAAGTGTATATTTCACCACTATTTCCATAAAGTGTTCTTTAAATAGTTGGTAATAGTAGTTAGAAATAATAGTAGTAGTAGTACCGGGTAGTAGTTAGTAGTAGTAGTAGTAGGTTAGTAGTAGTAGTAGTAGTAGTAGTCAGTTGTAGTTAGTATTAGTAGTATTATTATTACTGCACAGTCGTCGTAGCAAAGGTTTAGTACGGTATTATATTCGTTGGGTCTTATCACTATTATATACTGTATATATATCGAGTCTCAGTCCTAAAAGGTAGACCTGTTTTCTCTCTCTCTCTCTCTCTCTCTCTCTCTCTCTCTCTCTCTCTCTCTCTACACCTTTACTCTAAGTTCTTTAATTTTTTCTTCCTCCTATTCTTCTTTACTCTCTTTCTCAATCATTGTTATTGTATATTTGCAATTTCTTCACCTTGTCGTTATTTTTATACTCTCGGTCTCTCCCTCTCATTATCTTTATTGTATATTCTCTTATTCCTTCTCTTCCATTTTTCTTAGTCTTAACAATGATATTCCATCCAATTTTTTATCGTCTTTTTTTCTTTCTTTACTTCTGCTTTCTCTCTACTTTGTTTCTTCTTCTATCTTCATTACCTCCCCCTCTATTCCTCCTTCTTCCTCCATCATCTTCCCATCTTCTCCCCTTCCTCCTCCCTTCGTCATTATCTTCCCCTCCTAACCTCACCACCCTCTTCCTTCACCCTGTCCTTCTTTCACTCCCTCCCTTCCTTACTCCCTCCTTCCCTCACTTCTTCCTTCTTTCATCCCCTCCTTTCCACAACACTTAACCACCTTCCCCCCTCCCTCTCTCCCTCCCATCTACCCCTTCACTCTCCCCCTCTCTCTTTTATCCTGTCCATGCCTCATTTATCATGTTTCCCTCTCATTTCTGTGTCATCAAGATGTGCTTAATTGTGGTTTAGTCTTTATCAATGTCATATCATCCCAAGATTATGTATAATTCCTTTTTTTTGTTAAATTTCTTTTGTTTTGTGTTTTAATTTTCATGTTATTCTGTTTCTTTATCATTCTTTTATTTGGGTTTTTATTTATTTTTTGTTATTTAATTTTGCTTTTTTATTTAGTTATATAGTTATCTCTTCCTTTATTATTTATTATCTCTCTCTCTTTTATCTTCCTATTTATCATTGTTTTTGCTCTTTTTCTGATTTTTTCTGAATTTCTTTGCTTCATTTCTTCTTTTATTTTCTGATTTATTATATTTTTCATCTTATTATTTTTTCTTATCCTTTGTTATTTTTCTGCCATTTTCCAGTTTCATTTTTATTTTATTTCCCTTCGTATATTTTGTCGTTCTTCAATATTTTTTCAGTTTCTCTTTATTTCCGTCTTCCTCCCTTTAGCCTCTCCCCTCTCCCTCTTTCTTCTTCCTCTTTTTACTTCCTCCTCTTTTAATCTTTCTCTCTCTCTCTCTGCCACATATATTTTCTCTTTATTTCTTGTAGCTCATTCTTTTAGTCTTCCTCTTGTTTTCTTAGTCTTCCTCTTGTTCTTTTAGTCTTCCTCTTGTTCTTTTAGTCTTCCTCTTGTTTTCTTAGTCTTCCTCTTGTTCTTTTAGTCTTCCTCTTGTTTTCTTAGTCTTCCTCTTGTTCTTTTAGTCTTCCTCTTGTTCTTTTAGCCTTCCTCTTGTTCTTTTAGTCTTCCTCTTGTTCTTTTAGTCTTCCTCTTGTTCTTTTAGTCTTCCTCTTGTTCTTTTAGTCTTCCTCTTGTTTTCTTAGTCTTCCTCTTCTACTTTTAGTCTTCATCTTCATCTTTTCTTCATCGTTTCTTCTTCTTTATCTTCTCCTTCTAGTCTTCTTCTTCTTCTTCTTAGTCTTCTTCTTCTTCTTCTTCTTCTTAGTCTTCTTTTTCCTGCTGTTGCATTATGTCATCCACATATTGTTTCACTGCTTCTTCTTCCTCCTCTTCCGCGCCTTCCTTGTTTGCCCTTCCTTTGTCTCTTCCCTCTCTCACCTCTCCTTCCCTCACCTCTACATCCTCCTTTCCGCGATCTTATCTCTCTCTCTCTCAATTTTAACTAGTACTTTAAACTTATTTCTCATCCTGTAATCAGTTTCAATAGTTCAATAATTATCTTATTACTACATCAAAAAGTAATAATAATTATGAATGATGATGAAATATAATAGTAATTAAACAATAATAATATAATATAATGTAATATACTATAATATAATTAATATAATATAATGATGTAGAAAAATCCACATTATTGATAAAGAATAAAATATCAAAATCCCATTACGAAAAAAAAACTTATAATCTCGAAAAAATCCGAATGCACAAATCCACAAAAAATCCTTAAATCCTGCAACAAAATATTCCAAATAGAAAAGAGAAAATTTATAAAATCTTAATAAAAAAATCCAAAATGCACAAAAGGGCTAAAATCCCAAAACAAAAAGCAGAAAAAATGGCCTACCCCCCCCCCACACACACATACACACGCACACAAAAAAATTATAAATAAATATAAAATAAATAACAATAAAATACAAATAAAAAATAAAATCCATAGATATTTCATGGCCAAAAAAAATCTTTAAGATTGATAAGATAATAATCTCACACACACACACACACACACACACACACACACACACACACACACACACACACACACACACACACACACACACACACACACACACACACACACTGCCACATAGTCACCAGACAGGCAGCCTCCTTATGACCCCAACTGCTGGCAAATAATTTTCTTACGACGGAATTAATATTTTTTTGAGTCGACTTGTCTCTTCCCTGAGGTGTGGCCCACAAGACTACTACACCTGCATTCATAATTCTCTCTCTCTCTCTCTCTCTCTCTCTCTCTCTCTCTCTCTCTCTCTCTCTCTCTCTCTCTAACCCGGTAATGCAGTGTTATATCGTTAAAATGAAAAATAAAAATATGTCTGGATTTATTTTTCGGGAACATTGCAAGTGTAAGGGTCATGTAATGTTTTAGTTTGCGAACATGGGATGTGTGTGTTTGTGTAGCTAGGTGCTTGTGTGTGTGTTTGTGTAGCTAGGTGCTTGTGTGTGTGTTTGTGTAGCTAGGTGCTTGTGTGTGTGTTTGTGTAGGTAGGTGCTTGTGTGTGTGTTTGTGTAGGTAGGTGCTTGTGTGTGTGTGTTTGTCTGAGTAAGTTTGTATTTTATTGTTCGTATGAAGGTGTTTGTGTGTATTTTTTTATGTTTATGTGTATGTGCCTGCGTGTGTTTATATTAAAATACAGACATACAGACAGAACTAATAACTCTGGCACCACCTCTTACAGGATAGTGAAGGCGGGCGAGGCTACGTGCCCTTCGTGGACTACAGCGGGAGGGACTATGCGCCAGTACCCAACGGTAGGCGGGCGTCCTTCAGCGACCTGGGGCCCTACACCCACCCTCCGCCCCCTACCTCTCTCTCCTCCGCCGCCCCGGACTTCTGCACCATCAGAAGAGGCACCAGAGCGCACGACCTGGGTGGCGAGAACGGGAGGACCACCACCCTCCTGGGGGGCACAACGACGGTGGGGTCCAACTACCACGACACATCAACGACCTTAAGACACAACGGCAACACCCATACTCTCTCCCGCCACTCCGCCGCTTACGCCACCCTCCGCAACACCACCTACGGCTCCCCTCCGCCCCCGCCTTACCCCAAGAACGCCAAAATAGGATCCCCGCGAGGAGCTACGTCTCCTACGGCATCCCTCACCCTCTCTAACTCCGTGGTTCACGCCGTGGAGGACCGAGGATCACCTGAAGCCAAGTATATCTTCTCGCCGGAGGCCATGATGAAGCCCGGCACGCTGGTGTGACCCCGAGCTTCTTACCACGCCTCTCCTCCTCCTTATCCCACTTCTTGATGTGTTGATGAAACATGTAGGAACAACAAAACCTACAGGAGCTGGGATCCCACCGTAGGACTCTTGAGGGAGCTTACTAGACGCCCCTACGCTCGTCCTCGATATCACGTAGGTTATATAGAGACTACCTGAGGTCTCAGCCAATTCTGGATATCATGTAGGACTCCTGAGTGACTACTATGAGGCTCCCACGACAATTCTGGATGTCGGTTAGCTGTCGAGCTACAGAACACTCCCGAATCTATCGTAGAACTTTCATAAGGGTATTATAGGACTCTGTGAAGCTGCTTCAGGCTCTGATGCCGGTCCTGAATATTACATAGAACTTTTGAGAGGGTACTGAACGCTCGTATGTCAATCCTGGAATTTAAGGAACTAAGGAGGCTCCTATGCCAGTCCTGACCTCTGGCTCTTTCATAGGATATTGGAGTCCTTCAATTAAGAGTGGAGGATGAATTAGCGAGATAATACTTCACGGCTTCACCTGTATTATGGGGTTTCCTCCTTCCTTGTGGATCTTCAGCTACTTCTGTAGGTGTTTAGCTCTCCTGTAGGGCCTCCATCCTTCTGTGGGACTATTTCCAGAACTTGGCCTCTCAACTCCTCTGTGGGTCTCCACTACCTGTGTTGAATTACTGGTAATGGGACCTCCACATCCTCTGTGGGGTCTGTGAAGATATACTGACTAGGTATTCAGGTTCTCATCAAAGTCAAGTAGCCTCAGTCATACCTTAAAAGAATATTAGAGGGAGCTGTCGAAGTGGCTCTCCAGTCTAGCAGCGAGTCATTACCCGCGGCTATCAGCGCCGGGGCCACAAGTCTGCTGCCATAACGACCTTGCAAACGCTAGCAAGTGCACTCCCGCTTCGCTTGGTATTCGAAAACGAGTCTTAGACGATTTTATTGATAATGAAATGGCTCTTATCCTGGAAATTTTTTGAGCTGGAGCGCAGCAAAGGAGTGACCGTGTGTGTGTGTGCTTTATTTTACACGCTTTCTGCTGGCGTGAGTGTGTAGGAAGACTAAAATAGTGGAGAAAGTTTTCATTGCTGAGCTGCATACTTAGCGACCGTCAAAGGATAAATGAATAAGACTTCCTCAAGTGAATCATTAAAAGTCGAGAGTGTTTTGTACACTAAAACACTATTCAAATGAGCAGAAAACCCCCACCGCATATGTTGAGGTGGTGGACATCACAAGGAACCTACCACTGAGTCAATAGCTTCCCTCTTGAGTACCAAACACTAAGACAATGAACGGCGAGCAGAAGAAAAGGTCCTTTTGTAGTCCTAACGCTGCGCCGCCTCGACCGTGAGAGCAGCGACAGTACCAGCAAGAGGTCCAGGTGTTCCCGCCAGTATGGGAGCTACTGTCCTCTTGCCAGCAGTGGTGCTCTGTCGTGGATCGAGTATTGGCCGCAGGAGATATTTGAGGTGCTCACGTTATGAGCAACTGGTCAGTAATTAGTCAGGATTTGGATTGAAGGGCTACTCTATATTGACGGATGAATTTAAAATTATCAAATATGTGTAAAATTATGTAGAATAATGGAGTAAATGGATGATTTATGGTGTTGGTGTTAGGTATGTGTGGTGAAGTGTTAGAGTAGAGAGAATGTCAAGAGGAAACACCGTTACTACCTGCTGGATAGCCTGGCTCGGTGTAGTGAAAGACTCGCCTCACAACCAGGGTACATGACTCTTAACCTAACAGGGAGATGACACACGAGCGGGAAAATTGCTTCATCAGAACTAATGAAATTTAAATAATAAGTTTGATTTATGTTTACATATTTTATGAGGTATATTTCATATTTATTATTTTTTGAATAATTTAATTTGATTCCACTCAGCCAAACTCAGTCAAATCTTACCCAGGTTCAAGAGAAGTTAGGTACGACAAGGTTGGTTAGGCAGTGAAAGTCTTTATTTTGTTTTCTTTTGTTATTTTACCAATAAATAATCTTATGGTTCAGCAGACCAGGTCTCTCTCACATACATGTATCACATGATATATAAATATTTGTGGCGTTTTATATTGTATAATACACAAACGTTTCTGGTATTTGTCATGTGATGTACAAACGTTTCTGGGATTCATACCGAGTGACATACTAACATTTCGCCCAAAAATGTCAGTATGTCACCTAGTATGAACGTTTCTGCAACATATATCAAGTATTATTACGTACGTGTGTTGCCTGTACATCGGTTTATATATAATTGCTTCTGTTGCACGTCTGACAATAACACACACACGCTGGTGCACACAACACGTGCCACCAGACAAACGTTGCCAGCGTGCGTCTCCCCAGACTCTGCGGCTCAACAACTTTGCCATTGGAAGTTAATTTTGTTTCAAGGACCAAACTTTATACTTGTTGTGAAAGTCGTTGTCTCAGACCATAATAGACTTTGCTATTTATTGAAAATTTTAGACCAAATGATAATGACTTTTTCTTCCGAGGAGAGACTCGAGATTAAAAGTTTGTATTCTTTTTTGCATGCTGAGATAGTGAAGAGACACAGGTATCCTTGTGAAGAGAGTTTTTTTTCCAAATGGAGACTATTTGTAAAAAGAAAATTATGTTTTTGTTGAGACCAGAAAAGGCGATTGTCCTTCAGAGTGAAAATTTAAAAGACATGATTGCAGTTGCTACGATACACTGTCCTTGTGGAGAGACAGAATGACATGGACTTTTTTAAGGGAGACAGTTAAAGAGAATCTGAGAGATACTCGGTTTTTGCTCCGAGAGACAAAGAGACATGCAGGTTTTGCTCAACGAGAGAATTAATGACCAACTATTCTTTGAGAGAGAGACAATTAAAAACACATGAATGTCTTTGCCAAGCGAGACAAGAGACGAAGTCCTTGTTGAGAGAGACAATGAAAGAGACGCGATTGTCCTTGTCGAGCGAGACAATTACACAAGTGTCGAGTCGCCTACAAGTTTGTTGGCAGACTGCAAAAGCAACTGTGAGTCAGGCCAGCGGGAACCCGAGAGGAAATTCAAATTAAGTTTCGATAAAAGTGGAGGAGTTCCGTGTACGTGACAAGGACCCGACAGCGTCCTTGTTGGCTGGCTGGCTGTCTCCTGAGAACAACCTCGTGGGCGTTGGAGTACCAGGGTTCGAGTTGGACCTTGACTGACTGGTAGGTGTTTGGAGTACCAGGGTTCAGATAGACCAAATCAGACCCTTAGTGGCTGAGATGGAGTACACGTGTTAAAGCTGGAATACTCTGACCTCGATAACGATGCCTTAAGAGCATGTACACTCACTCACAGTCAATAGACTTGTAATATAAAGGTTGTAATGCCCACTAGTCGCCATCGAGTTTGTAAAAGACAGTTCTCATTATTTTCTGCTTATCCTCTTTCGCTCCGTCTTAAATTACTCCCAAGCGATCCCAGCGAGCGTTTACATTCGAAGTTAACACAGTTAGCTCGTTTTATCTCTCAAGAAACGTACGGGTTCTGCTGCTTCCCGGGCAGCGTTCACACTGTGCTCTCTCAAATAGTTTTCCTTCCATCTGTTTTCACCGAGCGTTCACATCCTGAATTTTAACATCAATCTTTCCCTGCTTTCTCCTTTTGAAGCGTTTACACTCGGCGTTCTCATCAGTGTTTCACTTATCAGGTCTCGCAAAGCATTCACACACTTCGTCCTAATTTAGTGTCTGTATTTTCATGGGATGTTTACACCCAAAGCATTCACTTCCTTTTGGGTTTCAGAGAGGCTTCAGTCCTCGTGTTTATGTGAAATCATCGCTTTCAAGAGAGTGAAATACCTTCCCAAAAGAAAGATCAGACGAGTATCGTTGTCAAGTCTCTTCACCGGAGGAGACGGCCCCTTGCTAACGACTGTAGGTGTCTGATGCGCTCGCGATGTTAAGAAATTCCAAAGGTACACAGGAAAAACACTGTGTGGCAGGGAATTGAACACATATTACGGGTATGAATATATTTTGATAGGATCGAGGTTTTACAAGCTGGAATATTTACACACAAGTCCGTAAAACCTGAACCTGAACCTGAATAAGATCAACTCATTTATCCTCAGTTAAGGGAAAAATATAACGGACTTGAGAGGATCCAAACTCAGTGCTTGGATTTGTTTTCATTTATTATTAAGACTCGCACTACACCACAAAGATGCCAACCAAAATGGCATCAAATTTATACTGAGACTCGCACTAATCCGTTAAAAATCCGCAATTCAGGAGATGAAGTCAACACTGTGTCTCAACTCATAGACGACACTTCAGATTTTTTATTTATTTTTTTTATTTTCCCTTCGTCTCAGTCGTTCTAGAGCAACAATTGACCAATTAAGGTGTTAATGGGTTGTTAGGCACGCTCCAATTAGCTTCCCAGGCCCGGGTTTGTTCCTCAACTTGGTCTCTTCTTCACGTCCTGTTCAAGTTGTGCCAAGTACTTGCTACTTGTACTTTTTATCTACTTTTTTGGGTGGAAGGATAATTTATAAGTTACCTCTGTCTCTTCTCTTTCTTTCTCTCTGAAGAGTTTTGTCTCCTGTGGGGGTAGAAGTTTCCAACACACACACACACACACACACACACACACACACACGGTTCTCACTTCATAATTACTTGTCATCATTTGCATACTGGCGACGCTTCCGACTTGTGTTCTGCCACAGCCTTGAGAGCGGCCGGGCTCCTCAGCATAAATTCCCTTTCGAGTCTCTCCATCTCTAATTATCTCACTATCTCTTTTATTATCCCAGGAGAGACAACGTTGATGAAGACACTGAGGACGAGAGACACTTTTTCCCCTTGTCTTCATGATGGTGGGATAGTGTGGTGAGATGGGATGGTGTGATGTGAAGGATGGTCAGGGGCTCTATCCTTACACCTAGGTAGTGAAGACAATGTGACTGAGACAAATGTTCTAAGTGTCTTTGATTTCCTTCATGATGAAAGAACCGGGAGGTGAAGACAGACTTAAACAGCCAAGTTAACGAAGACAGTTTGGACAAGACTCATCAACCTACTGTCTTTGTGGTGGATATGACTTTAATTCTCGTTAAAATGAGAAATAGTTAAAAAGAACTCCCTCATATGTAAAAAAAAAACATTGTTAGGTCAGTCAGTATGAAAGACGGGGTTGGATAATACAGCCAAATTCATGTCGACCAAAATTTCTCATAATCTAAGGTTCAAACTCATCAACCTTTACACCGTGTGAACTTGATCGGTGAGCGTGACGCAATCTGGACAGACTAATCCTCACTTTAGAGAGTTAACTAAATAATAGGCTAATGGAAGAGTAAGATGGGGAGAGGAGGGGTATGGGAAGGAGGAGGAGTGAGGGGGAGTAAGATGAGAAGGGAGGGAGGGAAAGGGGAAAAGAAAACCAAGAGGGGTAAGGATCGTCACAGAAAACTTTAAAAACTTTCTCCTTCAAGGGTAGGTCAAGTGAGTTTGTCCCCAGTGTAATTGTCACACATATTAAGAAACCATTAGTGATAATTAAATGTGTCTGTCTGTCTGTGTACGTGTGTGTGTTTGTCACTTTAACTAAAACCAATTTATTTTCAGTTCCTTTTTGTTATCCTATATAAAGTTTAATTTATTTAATCTTTATATTAATTTTGTGTATCTTAATTGACTATTTTAACCAACTTTTTCGTCATATATAATCCTAGTTTTTTTTCTTTATATACAATGTTTTGTTTTTTTATGTATAATCCAAATTTATTTAATGAAATTTTTATGCACTTGCTACCTTCCTCATCTATATAATCCTAACCTAACCCTGAGGAGTATTACCTTTGGGAGGCTAATTACTACTACTATTATTATTATTATTATTATTATTATTATTATTATTATTATTATTATTTTTATTATTATTATTATTATTATTATTATTATTATTATTATTATTATTATTATTATTATTATTATTATTTACTCCTCTAGTTTATTTTTTCGTATACAGTCATAAC